TGAAGGGCCCACTCTGTCAGGCTGACAACAGTGCTTACCACTCCAGTGGCAGTGGCCTCTGGTATCCAGAGGAATAACTATCTTCCCTTTTGCTCGTTATTTTCACAGGCCTTTGCACTTCTCAGACCTGATCTTAGGTGAGAGGAAAGCATCAAATTAATGCAAGAGGGCTGCACTTCTGCAGGGCAGGGCAGAATCCCAGGAGAAGCCCCATCTCACCCCCTCAAGCCTGCCTGCTGCAATGGTGTCACTGACAGAGCACCCCCACCTGCCACAGTCCTGCCAGCCTCTGGGGCAGCACAGCCTCAATTGCATTGCACCAAGGACAAGCAATGAAATATTCACATGCCCATGCACCAGACCCAGCAGGCCATGGGGTCTCGGCAGTGATCCCTGAGTCCTCAGCAACAAGACTCCTCTGTGAGCCATTTTTTTCCAATGTAAAGTGGGTCCGGCTGTTGCTGGCTGCTGAGAGGCTTTTAATGAGCATCTCTCCTCCTTGGCAACACTCACTGAAGGTGACTTCACCTGGGAGTGAGAGCTACAGTACTGGGCTGAATTGTCCTGAATTATTCTTTGCATGTCTAAGAAGGTATAACTGCTATTTAGAAAGGTTCTTAAACCAGCAAAGCATCCAGAATATAAAAGGCAGAGAAAAAAAAAAAAGCACTGCATGAACCTATATTTTAAAATAAATTTCATTTATCCCAATTGCCCCTTTTCTGAACCCCTAATAGAACAAACCTTCTTGGCAAAAGCTGAGGAGGGACAGAAAGAAACCAAGGCCCTGTGGATAATTCAGGAATTATAGACTGTGCATAGGAAACAGTACTGAAAAATGCATGAGAGCCATTTTTTTAAAAAAAATGGACTATGGAATGCTAGCTTTTGTGGAAGAATCAAGATCAATAAATAGAAAGAAGCAAAACTGCAAAGAGCCTGAAATTGAGAGCAGAAAGCTCTCAAAAACCCAGCTGGGTTGGAAAAGAAGAGACATTGGAACTTTTCAGAGAAGGGTGGATGAACTGTAGGGACAAACCTGAAGAAGACCCCATGTTATGCACATGGCTGAGGTCAGATCACAGAAGGGGGCTGTAACCAGCAACACAAGTGAAGATTTTTGGTCTGGGAGAGAAAGAAAAAAAAAAGGTAGGTCTAGAAAAGCCATAGCTGGAAGGAATGTCATATCCAGCTCTTCTTCCTCATGCTACCCAGCCTTGAGCTGCCACACAGGGGACTGATGACTGGAAGTCAGTGCAACAGCCATTGGGAATGAAGATGTACCAGTGAAGCACAGCCTGCCTGAGATGAATGTGACATCAGTTTTGTGAGACTGTCATACTCAGACTGGTGTCCAGGAGCCGAAGATTATTGTAACAATGACACGGCAGCAGATTGAATTTCCTCAATGGCACAGGCAAGCAGGAGAGACCGGGGATGAGTGTCAGCTCAAGCAAGCAGCAGTGCTCACTGGTATAAGAAATGCCAGCCTTCACCCTGCTCCTTGTTTTATTTTTTAACCACAAAAAATCACTTGCAACACACAGGGTGACCACATAAATGCAGGAGCTACACTTAAAATCCAAAGAAGACAAATCCAAAGAGTCCAAAGGTTTTTGTGAAAAAAATAAATTTGTTTGCAGCTATGCCTATAAAGCAGGATCGAGGATGTCATTAGACGTCAGACACTGCCTGTCTGGTGAAGTGTTTCCTGAGCCTGTAGATAGGCTTTGAGGAAAGCGAATGGGGTAATTGCCTTTCCCCGGAGCATCAAACACAGGAATGGGGTGGGAGGCAGAGATAGTAATGAAAAAGTAGTGCTGCACTGCCTGCCTGGTGATTTAGCAGGTGTGTGTGTGAGTGTATCTCAGTGCACACCCTCGAATAGCCTGGAAATCAAATTGCTGCAGAGTCTCTTCCTTGTGATTTTTAAAGGGCCTCTCTGTTGTGTGTTTTAGAGGCAGATTGATAAAGGAACTGGGTAACACTGAAGTGTACTCAAAACTGATGCCACTTCCCAGGCTTGGGAGGCAAAACATCCCCAAGTAGGAGGAAGCCAAGAGCCCAGGGAAGCCCTTGGCGCATCTCTCTATCCTCCTCCTAGCAGCCACCAGCACAAGAGATGCAATTAGGGTCCAAGTCATCCCAGCTGATGCCCAGCTGTCAGACCCCTAAGGCAGGGGATCAGAGTCTCAGCTGGGTAGAAACACTAACACCACCCTCATTCATTTATGCTCCAGTCACACTGACTACTCCAGGACTAATCTGGGCAGAAGTGGGGACTTTGCACCAGAATAAATGTATCACTCTTTGTGATGGCCATGCTACAAAGCAAGATGCTCATTTGAATCCATGAGATTGGCATTTAAGAATGCAAAGACCAGAGTGCCTGGCTTGGGAAAACAGGAGGAAATACAGGCAGAATTTTGCAGTCCTGGACAAATGTTATTACCTCTACCCATCACTTTGTCTTCCTGAAGGATCCTCTATACACTGGTCATCCCAAAGGTGTTACTGTGTTCTTAAAACCTTTTCAGTATAATTGAACTCGATCAACATATGGTGAAGCCAAAGCGCAAGCTGACAAGCACAGGACTGACCCTTACATGTTGGTCATATCTTCCTTCCCCACAGAGATGTGACTAGGGAGAAGGAAAAGCCTTTATAAAGCCACTGAAACTGGTTACAATTAGAATTGGCTGAAAAAGGGTATTTGGGGGGATAAATTAATACACTTAAATTTTTATTTCACCTGAATTCAGGAGAACCAAGTCTTGCACTTATATTTCTTTGAATTATAGAAAGGAAATCCCCTACACAATTGTTTTGTTTTCTTCAAGCCGTTGACAGCTTATGTGCTGATGACTTACATGTTCGATGTTACAATATAAGGAGAAAAGGCTGGGTCTTTAAAGTATTAAAAGCATTTCTTTTTTTTGTTTTGCATAAAAATGAATGAATTCTTTGTTCCTCTCATTTTGACATGCTTTGTGGAGAGTGTATGCTCAGCAAGTCTAAAAACTTTCAGCACAACCTGTCATAGCCTCTAGGAATAGACTAAATAAGTGTTAACCAAAGCATGAAATATGAAACACAACAACACAAGACAGAATGGAGTGAAACTCTGCTCTGATTTCAAATCACGCATAAACAGATTTTCTTGCTATAAGCACAGCAGCTGATTTTTTTTGGTTCCCTTGTGTTTAACTTGTGTTTTCTTTTTCAGTGGAGAAATAAGAAACAAACTGGCATCTCAAAATATTTGACCTCCTCCAAATGAAATTATTTTTGATATTCTAGCTAGATCCAATAAAAAATGAACAGAGAGAACTCTTCAGAAATGTGGTATCTTTTTAATGTGTATTTTCCTCTTCTCTTTCTACCAATAATGTTTTCTGTTCAGAAGGTACTAATAGCCCTTCATAGACAGCTTTAAAGATGAAAGGTCTAGAACTCAGCAGCTGAATTCAGGACCAGTTCCCAAGAAATGTTATCCAGCCCCTAAAAAAACCTTTGGTAAAGTATAAAGCCTTATAGTGCCTTTTTAAAAAGGAGATAGCCCTTGGCATAAATATTAGTGTCTTTCATGGACATTTGCACATTGGACATATTTTTCAAATTTCCTACAACAAGGATATTTTGAAAAATAAAGAACCTTGGTGAGTTGTTCATAAGTGAGGTTCTTGCAGCTGCTACTTTACAGATTTCAGTAAATCTCACACCTCCCAATGTACTTCAGTCCCTGTTAGATCCTGTCTGCGAGCAGTTGTGTGGCACTGATATCTTGCTGAAGAAAAGTTGACAGGAAGTGTACAATGCTGTTTTTGTAGCAAAATGCAGTTACTTCTGTAGCCCATGTATTACTTTTAGGTTTTAAGTCAGCTCTACTCAGTAGACCAACGTAGCTGTCTCCTGAGGGGTTTCCTTACATTTCTCCAAAACAATCAGTGTTGCAGCCAGCCAGGACTGGAGACAGGGCTGAGTGGACCCTTGGCCAGATTCAAGTTGGCAATTCATGTTTCCTTTATTTTTAGAGTGCATATTATTGTCGCCTCAATGCAGATACCCAGTGGTTTTCACCCTCCTTTACAGGGCCTTGCAGTCCTTTGATGGTCAACCAGTTGTCAGTGCACACAGGGTATGACTGAGATTCGGAAATTCAGTTCATGCTTGAATGAATTCAAGTAGCTTACAGTGCTATGGAAAACAGACATGCCTTTAGTCTCCTTCCTGCATTACCCGTACAAACACGCCAAAAATCCTGTCGCTTTTGGTGACAGACCTCACTGCAACATAGCTGCACCTGAAAAAAGAAGTGTCACAGATGCACACTCTGCCTTGCAGCTTCAGCTGGGAGAAATGAGAGTCGCAAGTTCTGGAAATAAATCTGCCTCTCACTCAGCACCAGAAAACCGACAAGTGTTCGTCCATCTGCTGTAAGCAGTCAAACTGTGAGTTAGCTGATGTGATATTATGGCAGCGTAATTGGCTGAGACTTTTTGGACCGTGCTCCATGCCCCTGTGCTGGATCTCCTGCAGCAGCATTCGGGGGGTGAGGGCTGAGGGGCAGAGGGGCTCCTTGAGACCTGTCTGATGGAGATGGGCAGCAGTGGTGTGAACGGATGGCTGGAGCGGAGGCACTGCCCGACCACGTTAGCGCTTTCTGCCAGCGGCAATGATGGAGAAAGCTTTTGCAGCTGTCCCTCAAATCCCTGTGCCACATAGTCAAAACTCTTTCTGCTTCACAGCTAACCTGTAGTCACTTGTATCAGTTATCGGCCCTGGCACTGAACTTCTGTCTTAATATTTGAGCATCAATTCCTTTTGTCATCACTTTCCCTGCAGTGTCCTTAAATGGACATAAGATGAAGGTGATGGTAATGCATTCCCCACACCATCTGCAGCATCCAGGCAATGTGACCCACATGCTGACAGGGCCCACTGCCATGGCCATGAACGTCCCCTCCCTTGGCTCAGCTGGTCATGATACCTGCAAACAAAGTTGCCTTGCTTGCTTCACGAGGTTTTCCAGAAACTTTGCTGCTGGTAGAGAGGCTGAGCAGGGGCAATGCTCTTGTGTCTCATACTGGCATCACTCAGCATCACCATCACTGCATTTATCAGATTGGGGCAGCCTAGATGAAGCCTGGTTGAGAGTCCCAGGGCCAGATTGCTGGTTCAGAGGTGAAGCAACACTGTGATCAGGAGATGAAAGCGATGCCACATCCATCACAAACAGAGACACTGAAGAAGTGTAGAGAAGATTACACAGAAGTTGTAGCTCATTAAAGGAAAACATGCTGAGATATTTTTATGTTGTTGTTACTTATAAAAGAGTCACTTAACACAGCTTATTATGGTAATTACAGTAATGTAAAGAGAGACCTAGCAAAGATTATAGCACTTTAATACACCATCATCATGGCTTAAATGAAACATATTTAGGACTCAAACAAGGCGTCTCCCACATGCCTGACCAGGGGATAAAAGGAGGGGCAGAAGATCCTTGCATAAGCTGCTCAGGTTGCTGCAACATCCTCAAGTTGGCAGAAAAGCTGTCAGTGTTGACTCATCAAGAGGCAGAGGATTGGCTAGAGGAGGCTGAGATGTGGGGCTGGCACTGCATGTGGCCATGGGGGAGCCGGGGTGGCAGGAAAGATGGGATAGAGATGGACTGTGGGGGACATGGGGCCCAGGTAGACAATTTTGAGATGAGCAAGCAGTTCAAAGATCTCTCCTTCATCACCTCCATCACTCTGTCCGATGCAGGGATCATGCATCAAGGAAGAGACTGTGAAGTCTCATGTTCGCCACGTGATCCGATAAATCCCCCGCTTACACCTCCAGCTCCCAGCAGCTGGGAGGAACTCAACCATAGAATTTAACGACCCTGGTGGGATTTGTCCTCCCTTAATTTATCCAATCCCTTTCTGATACAGAATTTATGTTTTCACCCCTGGAGATGGTGTGACCTCAGACTGTGTACTCCTCTGCACCCAGATTTATGACAGTTCAAAATTCTTCTGTAACTCTTTACACTACAACTGCTTACTACTTGGTTCTATTTGGTTCTATTATGGCAGAGCCCATCTGTCCTGCGTAGGCTGCTGCAAGAACTTCCCAAATTCTTAAAAATCCCAAACTCCTTTATCAGCTCCTCTCAACTATCTGCATTTCTGCATGTCCCTGTGTAGGGAGCATCTCAGAGAATGTCACCATGAAATCTGCAGCCTGCTTATTTAGCAGCACTCACCAATCTTCTCTAGCACTGTCAAATCTGTTATCTAGATGCTTCATGAGGTCTCCCACCTTCACTACCATCCTGTGCATGGCAGTGGAACCCTCACAGCTATCACAAATCTGGTTTGGCCACCTCGGGCTCAGGAGTTAGCTTGTTTCTGGGGTAAATGAACCAATTGCAGTGCATATAACTTTCACAAGGTCATGGGGATTTTGTCAGTGATGCTCAGTGTAGTACTCTCAAACCTACTCCTCAGCTGGATTATCACCTGTATATTACTGCACTAAGAGATGTTTTGTTTTTCTTTGAATTATTTCTTTATTCAGTTTTCTGAGGAGCCAGGGCTGGAGAATCCTGCAGCCATATCCTCTCCCACAGCTAAGCTACTGCTGCAGCCAAATTCTTCTCACTTGGACTGGGTCCCATAGTCCCAGGGGCAGCTACTTCAGCACAAACTGTAAATGAGTCAATGCAGATCATGTTTTCTCAAGAAGGAATAACATGCAGACTTAGATTCACACAACCTGATTCCAGTCTCCTGAAAGGAAGGACAGCATCAAGCAAAACATTACTCAAGTTGAGTTGTCAGCTTACAGCAATTTAAGGTATGTGAAAAGCGAGGCCAGTCAACAGCATCCATTTCATCCCTTTGCAAATATCCATATGGTGCTTGCTGTGCTGAGAGTGAAGTGTCCTTTCTAGCCTCAGAGTCATCATGTGGAGCTCTCATGGCCAGTTGCACTGTCTGTAAAGGTGACACTGGGGAAGCCTGGAAAATGACAGGAATGCCTTCTGCTTTTTAAATTCAATTTAGAGAAGTTAGAAAGGGTACTTGGTGACATTGACACAATGGGCAAATGAAGGCATGCAGGAGTGTGGTGGTCTCAGTTTCCATGTTCAACACAGGCATTGACCAGCTACACAGCACTACTCATTTCAGATCTCATTGAAAACTGTGGACAGTGTAGTTTGCAAACGTAAAACAATTGGTTAAACCACACTTAAGGTTGTGCTGAGCACAACCTTACTCCCATTTAGGAGAAGCTATGGCAAACCACCCTGAAAAGCTGCCCCGAATGCTGCTTTCCTACCTGCAGGAACATGTACAGGTAACATCACTGAGTAGAAAACACAGACACTTGTGAGATCTTGTGCAAAAGTAGGTGAGTGTAGTGTTCCATCCAGATGACAGAAATGACTGATCCTGGGGGAGCGTGTTTAAAACCCTGGCAGCATCTGGGCCTCTGTGGGCATGCCAGCCCCTGTCAGCCAGCACCCAACACAGACATGATTTACATCCGTGCTGTGTGCGCGTGCACTTTTGGATAAAGATACCCTTGTGCTGAGGCTGCTGACACTCGATCCCGTTGCCGCAGACGTGTGGTGATCAGCTGAGTGCCTTCACTGCAGGCAGATCTGGCTTACACCAGCAGAATGGGGAGCCAAAGCCAGTTTAGATTTCTGCTTCTGCAGCAGCAAGCAGATTCATTGACCCACCACAGCCAGGTCCGGTCTTGAAAACTGCTCTGCTTTACAGAGACAATTAAATCCCTTATGTGCAGCCTTGTCATTAAAACATATTTCAATTTAAAAGCAAGATTTAGTAATACAGATGGGTTTTTTTACCAGTTTATTTGGATGCCAGAGTTGAGCAGAAACCTCAGGACTGGCTGATTCACGCCTGTTTCATTTTTCCTTTCAATCTATTTTCTCTGAAAAGGAGACATAAGCAGTGAAACCAATATAGTTTTATTGGATCCAGTGCACTGCCACTAAGACAAATATATGTACACTCAGACCACCACACTTTCATTAAAACAAATAGAATCTAATTCAAACTAACATTCAATAGCTACAGATTTTGGTGGGTGTTCGTTTTGGTTTTTTTAAGAGATAAAATTAAATCTTACCAATATTTTTTCTCAATATGTTTCCACAATCAGATTCATTTGACCTAGGCAATATATATTTATCATAGGTAACACATTTTTATTAAAAGGAAATTTACAGAAACTAGGTTTCTTTTGAGTGTACAGAGAGGAATCCCAACCCATTGTAAGATTAGAGCAGAAGGACAGGTGAAAAAGTCTTGATTATTATTTTTTATGCTGGTAAAAGGCATTTCTACTTAAAGGTTTCTTTTACTACTGCACTTGGGGTGACAGTTATCTTCTTAAAAATGAGGATTTTAGAATTCAATGTATTGCTAGATAAAATATACTTTGTACAGACCAGCAATGAAAACAAATATAGTGCTCAATGCAAACAAATGCAGTCATCAAAAATTACTGTAAATTTAAGCAAGAGTAAGGGAACTAGGGCTTATACCAAAATTGAGGTGTGACTGCATAAGAAGGTATTTAGAAGAACTAACCTGTGGTACCGCAAGTCTGAAAAAGAAACAGAAAAAAGCTCAATACATTAGTGAAACTGAGTCATCATTTACAAAAGTGATGTTCACATTGTTAGATTTCCACATCTGTGTTTGTAGATGAGATTTTTACAGATGCCAAAGGGAAATATATTTCCTTTTGTCACTAAGTGCTTCTGCAAATCAAACCTAATTCTCCATGTGTGTCTAATAAAAAACACAGCACTATGAAAACCTTATTTTGACCTTCCAAAACCTTTCCAGTTCTTTATTCATTGTGATCTATTGTTTGATCTGGAGAAGTTACTGCCTGCCTTATTCTCCTCTCTCTGCTTCAGTTTATCAGAGAACAATGCAGAACTTGCGAAAAGTGGGTGTAAAACCATTCGCCTTTTTTCCTGACAACATTTTGCAAAAGAAGGACTGATCCTGCTCTGCCAGCCAAGCTGTTTTCTCCTCCTCAAAGGAAAACACTCTGGGGAGATTGTTGAGATATGCCCGAGTGTTGGTGCAGTGTACATTTCTGTCCAAATCAGGAGAATGCGTACACTTAGTTCTTGTGGGTTTATTTGAAATTCTTTTCCTCTGTTGTTAGTAGAGTTTGGCAAGAAAAAAGAAAAATTATTTCATAATCCTGTATGAAAATTAGCTGTAGCAGATTGTGATAGTCTTCTCTGAGCTCACAGTGGTAACAGAAATGAGGATGCAGGCACTGCAACCACCAGGGTGGTGCCCTGGCTGCATTCGGACATGCCACAGTTGGAAACAGGCACATCCACAACCACTGAAGCACAATTATGGTTGCTGCTTAAGTGTCCCCAAGGCTGACAGGAGATGTTTTGTTTATGAACATCTTGATGGGGTCTGTGTCAGGACTGCATATAAATACACGATGGCACAGGGCAGTTTAGTGAGGGGGGCATCCCCTGCTTTTTTCCCCTGCTTTTTCCCCCTTCATCCTAAAAAGTGTTGTTCTGTGTTGACCTTCTCTCTTGAATCAAGGGCTCTCTGTGAGTGTCAGTCAGGAAAGCATCATTAGATAGCAGTGGTGAGGGAGCACTATCCCCTCCATATGGGCTGAACAGCTGCCTTTGCAGACTTCCCAGCCAGGAGAGCAAAGGATTAAGTTCAAGACCCATACCCAGACATACTCCCCCACATTGTGCCGAGTGGCAGCATGGTGCAGGTGACAAAATTCTTTCACTATTTCCAATCCATTTTGCCGGAGACCAGCTACTTCTCCTTTGCCTCATTCCAGTGACGACATTTCCAGTCAACAGCTCAGCAGCTGTGTCTGCCTGTCAGGCTTCTCCTCCCTGCCAGCCTGGTGCAGAGAGAGGAGAAAAACCCGACCCTACTCCAAACAATTTTAATTAATACTGACATTTATCAAGCTGCAGAGGAAGCAATTGCTGCTCATTGCTTGGGTTTATGTGAAAATAGTAGAAATAAATGGGACTGTCATAAAGTTGTAGACCATCCCATCTTCATTACATCTAACGCCTGGGAGAAGTGAACTCTGAGCAGCAAGAGATACAGGAGCTCACGGGGAGGCTGATGGACTGCCCAAGCTCTGAGGCTTTCTCTGACAAGCAGGCTGTTTCCTAAATCAAGTTGCCTTCTTCACATATAGACATGTGGATCTACTTGGGATACTTGGAGATAAGCTTTGTACAGTGACCCAGTAAATGTCATTCATGGCCCCACTATGTCATGCATTGCTCTGGAGGTGGTAGACCCTGTTCCTCATGTGATTTGGGCACCTCGTGCTCCAAATATTCTGACTCTGACTCAAAACCCATGTCTGAGTCCTCTCAAGAGCTGTTCATCACTTGCCTCACACCTGACAAAGGACTGCAGGTCTGTGACCTGGAGGCACATATACCTCTGGTATAGGTTCACCATGGTAGAAAGGCCAAATAAGTGCACTATATTGCTGCAAAGTGCAAATAGTACACATTTTTTGCTTCATGCAAAGCCTGCATGAGGTCTCTGTGTCCTTCCAAGCCATCGTACCCATTCACTGATCATTCACCAGCCTTTTAAATGTTGTTCTTAAAGCTGTAATATTATCACAGCTTTCTACCAGGGCAGTCTTTGGATGTTTCTACCTGCTTATTGACAGGTTTTCCTTGAACTATTCTATAGAATTTATTTCCTAGCAAAAATGTAAACCATGGAAGAGAAGAATTTCTTATATCCTGACTCCTGGAGGTAGAAAAGAATTGCTCTTTCTCCACAGAAGTGTTCCTACACCCCAGGTATCCTCTACTTTAGCTTAAAAGCAACGGCAAAGAAATAAAGAAATAAATAGGAAGACTCCCTATGATGGGTCAGTAGTGTATGTGGTTTTCTCTGAAAGAGCTAATATCTGACCTGACATGCAGGTCCACTGGTCCACTATATGCTTAAAATATATGCTGTCAAAAGAAAATTTTATCCCAAAAAATCTCAAACCCAGTATCCTGTGAACAAGTTAAAAATAGATATTCTAAGCAAGGGATTTGTAGATCAGGAGAAGCTTATCTGTAATCCCTCAGGGAAGAGTAAATCCTCCTCTGGCCCCAGAAAAGTCCAGTGGAGTCCTCTTGGGGTAGAAAACACTGGTGTTGGTTTGTTGCTCTTCTATGAACGTGCAGTTCTGGATTGACACCAAATGCTCTTCTGAATGTGATTTCACCTTTAATTCCTCAAAGTAGCTCTAACTTCCAAGAAGCAAGCCATGTAAACACTCATCAGTGCTTTCCCAATCTCTAAAATGGAGCCAAAAGCAAAGGAAAGCCCAAATCCCCCCCAAATTTATTCACTTTTCTACCTCACAGACATAGTGTGTGAGTGAACTGATGAATTTCTGTAAAGTGCTTGGGAATTACAGAATCAGATCTTGATGGCAAATAGCTATAGACCCTCAAAATAATAGGCACCTCCCACCACACACCAGCTCCTTGTATCCCTAGACACAGAGCTGTGTACAGTGTAAGACTCCAGATTCTTATTTTTAGTGCAACTGTTAAATATCATACAATAAAGCAGTCATCTTATAGTGACTTTCAAATTGGCCCTCTGATCCTGAAAACATACTGTGAATGATAAATTATTCTTCCCAATATCAGTAAAATAAAATTCACCTCTTCTTTTCTCCTTTAGCTCCAGCCAGCAGCAGCAACTGTTGGCTGCTGATAGCTACAGACAGCACATTTCCCTTTCAGGAAACAAATATTGTTTTATTTTGGGGAAAAAAATATCCCCTGTAATGTCAGCTATAAAGTACAGTAACAGGTCTTCAGCAATACATTGAATTATACACACCTAACTGTATTGGAGACTATAAATTCATCAGATGGTGCAGGCCAGGGGGCTTGTGGAGTGGAAGGGATTTGTCTCTTGTCCCCCTCCGG